GAGATGTGAAGTCGAGAAGGTTGCTGTTTACAGACGACCTTGTTTTATTAGCATCTTCTGAAACTGATCTTCAGTGCTCCTTCGCAGCCGGGTGCGACGTAACGAGAATGCGTGTGTACGCATCCAAAACGAAATGCGTAGTGCTTTCTCGTGCTCCTGACCGTTGCTCTCTTCACATTAACATTGAGGCAGTGGAGGAGGTTTTGAAGTTCAGATACCTCGGAGTCGTGTTTACTAGTGATGGAAAATTCGTGGAAGATATCGATCTTCGAATTGGAGTAGCCAGTAGCGTTTTGCGTGAATTGGCCCGACCCATTGTGACTTAAGCAGAGTTCAGTCTGAAAATTAAGCTCTCACTATTCAAGTCGATCTTTATCCCCATGCTTACGTACACTCATGAGTCGTTGATTCTGACTTAAATGTTCTTTCTTAGACGAGTCGCTGGCCTTACTCGTCTGGACGTGGTCCGGAATACTGACATCCATGAGATCCTTAATGTACAGCCTTTGCTTCTTCAGATTTAGAAGTTTAATTTAGAAGCTGCGATTGTTTGGGCATGTGTTGCGAATGCTCCCAGAAAGGAAGGCTGGGCATCTCTTTCTTGCGTAACTAACCTGCCAAAGGCCCAGTGGTCGTTGATTATTAACTTCGTGCAAATATATTGAATTAGTCTGTTCCAGACTCCAGTTGTCTTCTGCCGAAGCTCAGACGTTGGACAGGATCTGGAACGTTGGAAGCTCTGTCTGACACATCTGTCTCCGTGACCCGAAAGGAGCAACGGCGATGGAAGATGAAGATGCGTAGTATTGGGTCATGGACTAGTTTATAATTTTTACTGGGACTATTTCCTTATGTTATTAATATTAAAGTTTGAGGCTGCTTGCTGTTGCAGGTCATATTAAATTTGCATACATGTATTAGTATTCAGTACCGATGTTCGTCACCCGTTGGTTGTGTTTGTACACTTGGGAGATGCCGAAAAGAGGTTTTTCTAGGAATAGCTCATTTTTAGCATTGTGAACCTCTGTGCGGCAGTAAATAGGCGAGGAGACTTTGATTTATAGTGACGGTTTTATGATGAATATAGTGTGGTACGTGATTTGTGGATGCTGATTAAAACTTTACGACCCATCATTGAGCTAATGCTGAGGTAAGTAGTGCGATTTTTCGTTATTTCGGTGTACGTGTTTGTTTCAGCTGTGCATTCCGTTTTTCTATTTGGCAGCGGGCATTGCTTTTTTTATGATTGTTTTGTCGCAATGCAAATTGTTGTACTGATGCTTGAAAGAAACCTGAACTTATTGCGGACGTAGACTGAAGAATGTGAAGAATGTATAATAAGAAAGATTGATTCGTTGAAGTTTCGTAGCCGCTGAATTTTTATGCACTTTCAGGGCGCTTAATATTAGCTATCATGCCACCTTTTTAATCATTGCAATTACATGCTAATGTTGGAAATAAGCTGCTTTTAGCGAGTTTTTGTGCTGCTTCTTTGTAATCTGTTGCATTTATCTGAATTGAAAATCGGTGTTCTTTATTCAGAGTAAAGCATTAAATGCAGTCATTTTTTCTCTAAGCTGTACACGCTATTTATTCTTCCACCTGGATGGGCAGGATAACGGTCCAATTAGCTATCTTAACAAAATCTGTGACAGCGTTTGTGACCACGCTAAGCGGCCGTTGAAGGTTATTTTTCTCTGGCAGCATGCACCAGGAACTCCCTTCATTCTCATTGGCTATGCAGGTATTATTGAAAGGACAGAAAATGGCAATGTTCTGTATACCAGAACGACCAGTAATCAAACCCAGCATTTCTGTAAAATGTATGTCGAGGACGACCGCGTCAGTACTGCGCGCCTAACAAGGGATATGCTTTAATTTTGTACGCAGTGTTTAGTTCCATTCAGTTTCCTTGCGGGTCTCATTTCGGATCGCGCAGGGAGATTGTTATGCAGTGTTTGTATGAAAAAAGCAATTTCTCTTCTGCTAGTGTGTTGCAGGCAGTAAGTTCTCCGTGAAATGTATCAGTGTTCTCCCTGTGAGTAACATTTAGAAACAGCTCAATGATTAGAAAGAGTCTGCAAATTTCAAACACCTATGCGGTAAGGGAACATTATCCTGGTCAGTGTGAGTCTTTGATCTCGTATTTAGAAGAAAATGTGCTCACTGAAGAAAACAGCAGGTAGTAACCAGATATGAATTGAGACGGTCATTCACCAGATGGCGCAATTCGATCTCGATGATAAGTTAATTTTGTTGCTGTAGAGGCTGATATAAAAGTGTGAGCAAACACGAGGTTGGTGAACTACCGATTGACAGAATGTGTCGTGTGCGCAGTGCCTTTTCGTTAACAG